ATCAGACACTTTGGGTCTAGTTTCTATCCAGGTCTTTGTGACTCAGGTCATGTGCCATAAACTACTGTGACTTTAGACTTTGTCCCAAGGAGCATGACGTCCTTCATAGGCCACACCAGAGAGAATCAATATGGAAACCCCACTAAATGAACTGGGCTCTGCTTCAATCTCATCTGTAGCCTTTGGTCTCACGACTAAAGCGCTCCGGTGTGAGAAGAAATAGGTAACTGTCACCCTAAGGCTATGGGGGCCTAGGTCATTGGATTGGATTTGGAAACCTCATGTTAGAGGGTACTCAGTAAATGGAGGCCCAGTGCCACCATATATTTCCTATTCTAATGTACTCTTTGCCTTATTATAAGATGTGTCAATGTGATAGAAATAGTTCTGCCCTTTTAAAGGAAGGTTACTGGAAGTTTTGCCTTGTCACCAATCCTCATTGTTGATGTATATTGACGTAGGTTGATGTATGGTCATCTTTGACCATAAGAAAATTCAAATATGACAAAGGGAAAAGCATCAAAACCTAAATTGTGAACACCCAATTTGTAGAAGGCTATGGAGGACAGTGGGAGCCCCAGATGAATCTGCTGGGTATCTAGTCAGATTAAGCTGCTGACAGATCCTCTGTAGCCACAGGCAAGGATCTCAAACAGCTTTACTATCAGATAGCGGTCTGGATCAAACTTGTTACTTGGTCAGTTGACCTCCCTCCCTAGTTTCTTTTACTTTTTTAATCATTTTACTGGGGGCTCTTACAGTTCTTATCACAATCCATACATACAACCATTGTGTCAAGCACATTTGTACATATGTTGCCATAATCATTTTCATATCATTTTCTTCCTACTTGAGCCCTTGATATCAGCTCCTCATTTACACCCCCCCCAACTCCTTCTCTCATAAACCCTTGATAATCATTTATCTTTTTTTTTTTTGCATGTCTTACACCAACCGTTGTCTCCCTTCACCCACTTCTCTGTTGTCTGTCCCCCTGGGAAGGGATTATATGTAGATCTCTTCACACCTTCCCCTTCCCCTCCTGGTATCGCTACTCTCATTGGTCCTGAGGGGTTTCTCTCTCCTGAATTCCCTATGTTTCGAGCTCTTATCTGTACCAGTATACATCCTCTGGTCTAGTCAGATTTGTAAGGTAGAATTGGGATCATGATAGTGGGGGGAGGGGGGGAAGCATTCAAGAACTAGAGGAGAGTTGTATGTTTCATCATTGCTACA